GAACCTGCCCAGTTGCTATAGTCCAGGCTTTAGTGCTAATTTATATCTCTATTATGAAGCCATCATCTATTGAGCAGCCATTTGTCATAGTCTCAAAGGTTTTTTTTTATTATATCATTCAAATTCATTTGATGTAGTATTGTAATATCTTTCAGCAAACCACAAGAACCAGAAGAACCATCCAATGGAGTTGAGGTAAGAATGAATTACATTATATGCATAAAACATTAATGAAAAGTTTCCAGTAAATTAAGGGAGTTTTGCTGAATAATTTCACTTATTCATTTTATCTTTTTCAATTTGCATCTTACAGCCCTTACCCAAGAAGTTTATTCGTTGTTCAACTCATGTCACAATAGGATTATTACAGAGATTTATTGCCACAAAATTAAACCTGGAATCAGAAAGTATGGTAAGAATGGCATTGTGAATGAACGATGTGTTAGTGCTACAGATCTGCTAATAAGACTGCTTTGTTWTCCTCACATTTTTAGTTGGTTTGTAGAATCTACACTTCATACAAACCACTTCTCACAATAGTCCCCTTCACAGACTTGATGCCATCTTGAAAGTTAGCCATGCCTTTGCATCAAAGTGAGACGAAAAGTGAGATCGCAGTGATAGAGATGTGAATAATAGTCCAAGTTTTTAAAAATATGTCTCAATCATTGCATGCTCACCGTCCCTCTCATGTTGATGCAAAGGTACAGCTACCTTTCAAGATGGTGCAGGGCCGACCTGTGAAGGAGACTAACGTGAGCATCACCTTTGAGCATATATATAGAGGGCGTTATATAAAACATACAAGCCATTAATTGCCATAAGAATGGAATAAATCTTTTTATGTTTAATATCTCATTCATTAATCCTTCAGATAGGAATATCACACAATGAAACAGAGATGGACAAGGATTTCACCTTGAAATACATCAGCGATAACTTACTAGAGGAAAAGGTAAGCACACTGCTGATCTCACTAACTAACAGATTGAATTGGAATTTAGCTTGTTAGATTTTGAGGAAGAAATTGAGGAAGGGACTTAAAACAAACTCTATTCACATTTGATACCAAGTTGGGAAATCGAACCAAAGACCCTTGATTCCATATTATGGCAAGCTAATTGTAGCCAAATTCAATACCATCAAATTTATTCAATTCAATCCTAATTTATTCAATTTAGTATCTATGTACTTGCAAATTAAATCTCACAAATGGTGGCTGTCCCATACCCCTCACTCTATTCCGCTGCAATAGAATATATTTTAGGATTAAACTGAATTACGTTAACATTGAATTAAATTTACTTTCAGATTGATTTGAACAAAATGGAATGTATTTTGGATTGAATTGAATGTATGTTAGAGATTGAATTTGCATGTATATAAACATTGAATT